ATAAAGTTTAAATTTAACCTATGCTCCTTTCGTTGTAGGCTAAGGACTCCAATCGTCTTGTAGAGGAGTTCATGTTACTCGCGAATATGGCTGTAGCCAGGAAAATAGAAAGGCACTACAGGAAGACAGCGCTTTTACGATGTCATCCTCCGCCGAAAACCAAAGTGCTACGAGATGCGGTGAGTGGATTGTCATTCGAGTTGTTTTGTATGGAGTTATCAAGGATATCTCGGAAGTGGAAGGTATAACAGCGAAATGATGATTGTAGTAAAAGGTCTGATTGTTGGTCGATGGATCGATAATCTCACGACTTTTTTCGAGAAGTATTAGAAAGAAGTTGACGAATTGTCTCCAGATTAATAGCCGAAGGTATTGCTGACAAACTAAAGGTCTTGCTTGTCAGTACCTAAGAAATGGCGTACATTTATTTATCGATTAGCGACAATTGGTGAGATAATCGATCAATTTCGCCTTCATGCAATGATCACAAAATTGATCTGATCGCTGAAAACCTTGGAGACCCAACTCGTGTTTTTTTTGTGTGCGATTATGCTGCGATTACTTCATGGCTCAGTGATGCAGCGTTGATTTCAGCTGAAGCAGTGCAATACACTTGGTTTTCCTATCGATGGAACTTCATCATCCGAACTCAGTCGTGCATTGGCTCATTTTCGAACTAATTGTCAGCTCTCCAGATCGATTAACCAGGTATTTTGAATTTTATTTCAGTTATTGTCATCGATTATCTCTACGGCTACAGCATCAAATGGCTATGTCAGTACAACCTCCTCCCCCCCCTCTTTAAATTCCCTCCTCAGGTAGTACGGTAACTGAGGAATATGGGAACTGACCGCTGCAGGTCCCTCAGAGTTCCGTTCTCTCATTCATGAAATTACATTGCTCACCGAGCCAAGTAGTTTCGTGGAGGGAAGACGACAGCTTAACCTCTCAGCAGGGTCATACGACAGTCGTCCTTCTCTATCTATCCTCGAAATCCTAAAAATCCTGAAAAAGGAAATCAATCAATACGTGCTCGGACATTTTTCGTGGGATCTCCGATTATCTGATCCGTGGTGTCTCACAGCGCACGCGCCCTTGTGAGCTTCGTAATGTGAATCTTTCTCATGAAGGTGCTCTCCTTGATCCTGATGAAAGCTATGGAACTTGCTCGATACTTCTGTACTGGTTCAGTTGACAGTCAAACGAAATATCATCACTACGCTTTGAATGTGCCTTTGTAAGTGCTCATCTTCTGAATTTCTGCCATAGAAACGGGTTTCTATAGTTACTCAACAACATTATTGCTTCTTTTTCAGCTACACTCACTTCACCTCGCCTATTCGTCGATATCCGGACATAATCGTTCATAGATTGCTAGCGGCCTCGTTGAATTACTGTGAACCTTCTGGAAGAACTGTGGAGGAACTGGAGAAAATTGTAAGCGAATTGTTTCGGCTTCCTTTTTCCAGGCATCGCTTCGCAGAGGCATCCGCATTGAGCGGGTTTTCAGTGCCATTGCGGCCGTGTTGAGGGATTGCAAAATATTGAAAGTATGGGAGGGAACTTTGTGAACATGGCATTGGTGTGAGGTGTTATCGAAAGCGAACACCATAGAACTACCGAATCAAGTTGGCTTGGTGGGGGGATACCTCGTGTAGGTCTGCCTGTACAGCTGTGCAGCAGCATCAGCATCGTTTACTTGTGACAAGAGTTTACTGGTTTCACCAGGTTGGACGTGTGATTTAAGGAAAAATGTGCGAAATGTCCCCCCCCCCAAGCCGAACAGCGCAGGAGTCCCCTTCACCAGCCTACGAGTGCCGCGGTTAGCTTTGTTCTGGACTGAAATACGTCTGATGGCATTTGCATAGCATGACATAATGGCATAATGCTATTGTTAAGGCTCAACATTGTAACGACAAGAAGCTTACTGCAAAGAAGGTTAGCGAGAGCAGTGCTGAGACATTTTTCGCTGTTATGGTTCAGGTGAGTATAATTACGCGATGATTACCTTAGAGGGTCATTTGAAGGACTCCTAGTGCCAAACTAGAATGGAGGATTCCGATCGGTTAAGCAAGGCAATCGAAGGCCGTCATCTGTTAGAATTACTGTGCTTGCAGTTGTTTCACTCCCTCTAAAACCCCTCTCATTCGAAGTTAGGCGAAAGTACC